TGAGAAGATGGTGGAGAGAATTCCCTAAGACTCCAGGGGATCTGTTCACATTGGAGTGACAGTTCATGTCAATTTCCCTCTAGTGGAGAACAAGCAGGATCCGAGATAATACTGCACATATACGGGCAGACACACGCGTCACGCACACACACAGACACTGCCCAGGCTGCCGTAACAAAGCTTAAACAACAGAAATGTATTGTCCCACAGTTCCGGAGGCTAAACATCCTAATCAAGGTGTAGGCAGTGATGGTTTCTCCCGAGGCCTCTGTTCTTGGCCCATGGTGGTGGTTTCATTGCTCAGTTGTGTCCGACTCTTGGCGACCCCATAGACTGTAGCCTGCCAGGCTCCTCTGTCCATGGGATTTCCCAAGCAAGAATACTGAAGTGGGTTGCCATTCCTTTCTCCAGGGATCTTCCCGACCCAGGGATTGAACCCAGGTCTCCTGCACTGCAGGCAGATTCTTTACCAGTGAGCTGCCCGGGGAGCCCTGTATGTGACCGTCTTCTCCTCCCTGCATCCTCACATGCTGTTCCCTCTGTGTGTCTGTGTCCCAGTGCCTCTTCTTTTTCCCTCTTTCTCTGTTTCTTAAATTATGAAAGTATGATCATGCATTTACAGGAGACTTGGAAAATATAGAACATGTAGTTCCATTATATATTACATTTTTTAAGTAGATAAATTAAGATTTTTAGTTGGAATTTCAGTATCAAACTCTTAAAAATTAATAGAATGAATATACAGAAAAGTAGAAGAATGTAGTAGACTTGAGAAGCACTATGAACAATTCAACAGAATTAAGATTTACACAGCTTTCACACGATGGCGGGATTGTTGTTGTTCAGTTGTTAAGTCATATCTGACTCTTTGTGACCCCATGGACTGCAGCACACCAGGCTTCCCTGTCCTCCACCATCTCCTGGAGCTTGCTTAAACTCATGTCCATTGAGTCGGTGATGCCATCCAACCATCTCACCCTCTGCCACCCCCTTCTCCTCTTGCCTTCAGTATTTCTCAGTATCAGGATCTTTTCCAATGAGTTGGCTCTTCACATCAGGTGGCCAAAGTACTGAAGCTTCAGCTTTAGCATCAGTTGATACAAATTCCTCACGTCTCTTCTTATAAGGACACCAGTCATCATGGATTAGGACCCATCCCAATGATTTCATTTAACATTGATTACCTTCTCACAGGTCTTATCGCCAAATACAGTCACATTAGAGTTCCTGAGGGTTAGGACATCAGTGTAGGAACTTCAGGGGACACAGGTCAGCCTAGAACACACACACCCCACACTTAGGCACACACTCTCTATAATGTTGTGATAGGGCCTCTCCAGAGTAAAATTTTAGGTTTGACTTGAGATACACTGGAGGCCAAAGTTTCAGGCCTGTGATGGAGAGATGCCCAATGTGACAGGCAGGGTGGGGACCCAGTCCGTTCCACCAGGCTTCAACCACAGACACATCAGGCGCCTAGAACCATGGGTGATGTGTGGTCCTCTGGCTGAGTGGGCCTCTTTGGCTCACCAGTTAAAGCTGAGACCATTTTGAGGCTTAGAAAAATGAAAGAGAATCCCAACAGGGCATGAGGGAGCCCTGAGGCTGAAAGATGAGGGGGGGGAAGTATCTCGGGCAGGCGTAGAAGTACAGAGCAGGCAGTACAGCCCAGGTCATTTCGCTAGAATACTTGATATTCTTCTAGGAAGCACCGAGGAGGAAGCCAGTCCCTGGCATCCTGGGCCCCGAGGAGGGGCTCCTCCTCAGGGCAGAAGCAGGGCGCATGGGTGGTGGCTCTGGGGAGGATGGGCTGTGGGAGGAGATAGCATGAGGCTGCAGCTGTCATGACGCCCGGGGCGGTGGTCCCGCTCTGCCCCTCTCAGTCTGTGCTAAGGCAGCTAGATCATAGCTCCGCCCCCGGTGGTTTCAGATTAGTGGTGATGTGCTGGCCTTGCTGCCGCCTCACACGTGGTTAAGCCTTTGGGTTTTTCTCTCTACTTTATTTCAGTTGTCCACCAGCTCTTTGAGGGCGGTGAGCCTTGTCACCTCAGCTCAGTCAGGACCCTGGAGAGTCTCAAATGATCAGAATCATAGTCACAGAGTTTTACTCAATTGTCAAGTGAGGAGAGGCATTCAGAGCTGAGTTTCAGCATCAATTTCAAATCAGTTATCTGAGTTTCAAATCAGCCATAATGTGTGTGAAGAACTAACACAGGAGCATGAGGCATCTTTGTGTTCATGGAATTCAGTGCCCGTTCCTTGAGAGTCAGTGGGATTCTGTGCTGGTTTGCTGCCTTTCAAGTGGGCCACTGGCCTGCTCATCTGAAAGCCCCGATTGGCCTGGTTTCCAGGGCAGAGAGTGAACAGTTCAAAAGTGCCAGAACTACAGAGCTCCTGTTCCTCGCTCTCTTGCTGGAAGAGACCAGAGCTCAATGCTCAAGGAAAAAGTACTTTATTTCTTCAAAATTGTTATTTTAAGCCTTTAACAGGTGTGCTTCTTATGTATAATTTCTTCTCCCCAAGTGGGAGGTGGTATATACCATGTTCATCTTTTCTGCACCAGAACTTGATACATTATTCAAGAATTTAGCCCTCCAGACTCACTCTCTTCATCTGTAAAATAGAGTAAGGCCTACCTCACAGGGCTGTTGAGAGGAAGAAAAGGATTAACTTGACATAATAAATGAAGTTTGGGTCAAGCACCCAGTGAGGTATCTGGCTGGTGTGGGGTACTTCACAAATGGTAGAATGATGACGGTGAAAGTTGACTTAGCTACTCCCTGGCCAGGGAAACACTCTCCGGGCCTGATCACGCTCAGTCAGAACCTGATCTCATGTGGTTTGCCTGGTGGGTAGGAGTGGGGTTTCCCTTGTGCTTATGATGGGATGGGGAGGCCTAGCTTCTCCAGACTGGAAATGCTGCTGATTTATTTATGCATAAATACCTGATGGTGCTAGCAGTAAAGAACCCACTTGCCAGTGCAGGAGACTTAAGAGACATAGGTTTAATCCCTGAGTTGGGAAGATCGCCTGGAGAAGGAAATGACAACCCACTCCAGTATTCTTGCCTGGAGACTGCCAAGGACAGAGGAGCCTGGTGGGCTACAGTCCATAGGGTAGCACAGAGTCAGACATGACTGAAGCGACAGCACACACACACACAATCATTTTACCTTTATGAGAGTAATGAGAGTTGAAGAGGCCCTTGCTTCTGTAAACTAACATTGTGCAGAAGGCCTGCTCGGACAGCACTGATGCTGAGGGGAACCAGGAGAGCGGGGCAGCATCAGAGGATGACTCTTGGGGCAGGAAGCAGGGATGCTTCCTGTGGGCATTAGGAACCCAGAGTGCCTCCTTCTTGCCCACTTCTGTCACTCAAGTGGCCATTTTCATAAATGAAGTGGGTCCCCCAGGAAAAGGCTTCCCAAGTGGTTCAGCGGTAAAGAGTCTGCCTATCAATGAAAGAGATGCAGGAGACACAGGTTTGATCTCTGGGTCGGAAGTAGGAAATGGTAACCCGCTCCAGAATTCTTGCCTGGGAAATCCATGGGCAAAGGAGCCTGGCGGGCTATAGTCCATGGGGTTGCAAAGAGTCGGACATGACATAGCACACACACCCCCCAAAGATAATGGGTACCATGAGTTTGGAATATGAAGCTGCCCCAGGGAGTGCCCTCTGGAACCCTTCCTGGCCCATGTGGCTTGAAGATTCCAACAGAGGCTGAAGCTTGTCATTCCCTAGCAGAGCCAAAGTGCTAAGTGCACATACTCCCAGGAGACGCGACGTGACAGCTGCCTCTGGTGTAACTTACGTGGCTGGACTGATCTGGAAGCAGATTTTGAGAGAGGATCTTGAGAGTTAAGGGGGAGAATGATGAGCTGGAAAAAGGAAAGCGCAGGGGCCTTGAGAAGGTGACGGGCCTGAGGCCAAACATGGGCAACTTTGCTCCCTCTGCTTCTGGCCTGGGCCTGATCTGCCTTCTCGTGGGCAGCTGATTCTCCCAGGGTGTGTGCAGAAACACTTCAGGACTTTGGAAAGGAGCAGCAGGCTATATTGCCCTTTAAACAAGGATTTCAGGAAGTGAGAAAAGAAAAAAAAGAAGAAGAAATGGGCTGGAAACAATGTATATTCAGGATACACAGTATTTAATGACATTAAGAGACAGAGTGGCAATTCAGGATTTTTACATCTCGCAAGAATCATAGGTAGCTTTGCTAATTTTTTTCTGCTTTTTAAAAAAAAATTTTATTGGAATGCAGTTGCTTTGCAATAGTGTGATAGTTTCTGCAGTACAGCAAGGAGAATCAGCTGTATGTATATATATGGCCCCTCTTTTTTGGATTTCCTTTCCATTTAGGTCAGTGCAGAGCATTGAATAGAGTCCTCTGTGCTGTGTAGCAGGTTCTCATTAGTTGTCTATTTTATATGTAGTATCGATAGTTGGGTTGGGTTGGGGGAGGTATCATTCACCTGCATTTTGTGGGGTATAATCATGAATTTGTTGTTTAGTTGCTGAGTCGTGTCTGACTCTTGCGACCCCATGGACTGTAGCCCGCCAGGCTCCTCTGTCCTGGGCAAGAATACTGGAGTGGGCTGCCATTTCCTTATCCAGGGAGTCTTCTTGACCCAAGGATCGAACCCTTGTCTCCTGCACTAGCAGGTGAATTCTTTACCATTGAGACATTGGGGAAGCCCACCTTGATTTGGAATAGAAAATCTAGCATAATTTGTTGAAATATTTTGGAAAAATGTGACATGACTGTTTTTAGATGTTTTTGCTGCTAGTGAAGACCACACTCCAAATAATATTTATGGACCAAAAGCCAATGGGACGGGTCAAAAATCTTAAAATAGTTATTCTGACAGGAGAAATAAAGTTATTTTCTTTTTTTTTCCTCTAATTGTCTGTATGTTTTTAATTTGAAAGAAAATGTTAGTCCTTTATAATGATGGGACTACAAATATAAAATTTGTCTTTTTGTCCTCTTTTTTGCAATAGGGTTACATGATGGAAAATCAAATCTCAGGCTTAAAATGTGACACAGATGTGTTTGTCACTTTTGAAGGTGACAATGTCGTCATGCTGCAGGTAAGACTCAGGAAATGTTTATTCTTTTTAAACAGCAAAATTTTATTTACTTATTTATTTTACTTTACAGTATTGTATTGATTTTGCCATACATTGACTTGAATCTGCCATGGGTGTACATGTGTTCCCCATCCTGAACCCCACTCCTACCTCCCTTCCCATCCCATCCCACTGGTCATCCCAGTGCACCAGCCCTGAGCACCCTGTATCATGCATTGAATCTGGACTGGCGATTCATTTCACATATGATAATTTACATGTTTCAATGGCATTCTCTCATATCATCCCACCCTCACCCTCTCCCCCAGAGTCCAAAAGACTTCTATACATCTGTGTCTCTTTTGCTGTCTCACATATAGGGTCATCATTACCATCTTTCTAAATTCCATATATATGCGTTAGTATACTGTATTGGTGTTTTTCTTTCTGGCTTACTTCACTCTGTATAATAGGCTCCAGTTTCATCCACCTCATTAGAACTGATTCAAATG